CTCATCAAGGCAAGCATCACTCGTCTGTATCTGTGGCACGTCAGCATCCGTCATTGGCCCTGCATTTGTCGCCACCACAGCCGTGTCCTAGGCACGTGGAGTGCTTCTGCTCGACTGCGCCGCAACGGCAGCTGGTCCTGAAGACGCTGCCGTTTCGACGTTTGATGCTGAAGCTACATCCAAGGCAGACTCTGGCCCGATCGATTCTTCTTCCTCGAGCCGTGCTGCAGGTGGCTCAGACAACACATCTTCCTCCTCCGCCATCGCCTCGGCCTCTGCTTCCACGTGCGCCACACTCAACGCTTGGGCAGCGCGCTGCTGGCGTGCAGCTCTTGCTGGCTCCAGGCGCTGTGCTGTTCCTGCGCACACGTCACCAAGCGGCTGGCCGGCAGCAAAGCATGTCGCGGCGCGGGGATCTAGCAACTTGCCGAGCGCCCAGCTGCGGCACGCACTGCCTTCGACAAACTTTTCCATGCCTGGTGCTGGCCCACGTCTCACTGGTAGCCCCAGCTCGGCAGTTCCACCCTGTTTATCGCGACCAGCCCGACCAAATGCCTAGCCCGAGCACATGTACACCATCAGCAAAACCAACAATTGAATTTTTTTTATTTTTTTTTTTGTTTTCAACTCCATAAAGTCACACGACTGTGTTTGAGCAACAACGTACCTGGGCCAGCGTATAGACGTTGTAGCCATTGCCATACCACAGCACGTGGCGAATGGTGAGCAGATCCACACCCGTGCTGAGGCAGCTGGTGGTCACAATGACGTCGCATTCACCCCGTTGCCACTGTGCCACATGGTCCTTTTGCGCCTTCTCCTCCAGGTCGGTGTAGTAGGGCAAGGCCACGTAGCCGTATGCGTGCAGCTGGTCACACAGCAGCTTCACCTCGTTCACGGTGTCACAAAAGACCATCATGTGCACACGCTCCCCATTCGCCTGACGCATCACCCGCTGCGTGTCCACAATGGCTTGCACATGCGACAAAAAGTTTAGCTGGTTTCCGTGAAGCACACGCAGCTGCAGATCGCGACGCATCGTCTCCAGACGGTACACCTTGCCCCCGACTTGCTGACCCAGCTTTCGAAACAGATGCTCCTGGTTCCCGATGCAAAGTGTGCCCGTCAACGCCACGCGTTTGATGTTGGTCCATCCGCCAGAGCCCACACTGGCTGCGACTTCGTCCATCACATCTCGGTAGCTGGCATCCGAGATGAGCGTGTGCGCCTCGTCCATCACCACGGTGCGGATGCGCTGAAAGCAGACCTTTCCGTGTAGTGATTCAGATCCCACGCGGACAAACATGTCGGTCGTAACGATGAGCACGTCCAGGCCATCTGCCACCTGTGTAGAGGGACCAAGCCATCGCTGGGCACTGTGACCTGCGCCTTGAAATCGCCGCAATAAATCGTTGGCCACGGCCACAAACGGCACAATCCACAGCACCGTACCGGCATGCGGGCGACAGCCCAGCTTGGGCAGGGTACAAAATGTTTTACCCATGCCTGTCGGTGCAACAACAATCAGCCATCCATCTTCCGGCCGGTGCTGGTCAATGGCCGCAGCCAGGTCCAACTGTTCTTGGCTGTTGAAACTGTGGCCCCACGAGATGCTTGCCTGCTTGGCCAGCTGGGTCATGTAGGGTACGTCATGCTCGGCCCTCGTGTTCATGATGATGCGCCCGTTTGCCTCGGGCGAGAGGTCAGTCACCGGGTTCCAGCTGATGGGATAGCGAGCTTCCAATGCTTCTTGGTTCGCTGTCAACTCGGCCATGCTGCGCCTGCGATCTAGTCCAAACAAAGCATGCCATTTTTGCGAGGCCACTTGATGCATCAGTCGCGACGACATTTTGGTTTGCACATGGTCACTGGCTGTGCGCGCATAGGCCTGCTGGGCCGTGTCCCCAGAGTGTTGAGCTTGAGTGTGGATCAGGCTGCCCAGGGCGCCGGTCGTCTCGGCCGACAGTCGGTTAATGACAAACGTCGTCATCCAGAAGGTTGCGGCGTGTCGCCATGTGGCCACCCCCAGCTTTGGCCGATGCAGGTACGTGGTCATCTGCCGACGAAATGCCGCATAAATGGTGGCTGGGCTGACCATCGCCTGCAGGGGCGCGATGTTGAAGAGCAGGTGGCTGTTGTTGTAGTGGTTTCGAGCGTCCCGGACCTCGCGTCGCAAAGTCATCGTCTCGTCGTGGCTCATGTGGTCTTCATCCAGCTCGTCGTCGA